GTTGTAAACCAACAAACGTGCCGAATTGCGCAGTTCTTTAAGTCAGCCAACTGTGCCCGATCCCGATTCTGGTCTTCGTGACCCCGTCCTAACACCAAGCACGGACAGGTGCTGGACGAGCGAGTGTAATAGACGCACTGCAAGTCTACCATCCTTAAGAACTAAATCACACGTGTAGCGGCTACCTAGATTCAACGCCTAAAAAACGTATAAAAATGTAACAATAGTGAAACGCAAAATTTAAAACGTAGAAACTACCTAGTAGTAATTAGACTACTACAAACTACCACGATAGGAAACGGTTAAAATCGAGAAGCAATATTATAATTAATAACGACACGACCCACTGGATACGAACACTTGCAATGAAAAAGAATTGACCAGAGTTATTGATCAAGTTCAGCCGTGCGGTCCAGCGAAGGTTGTCACCACGATTGATAGTGCGTTTGAAGGGGGAAGGTGTCTTTTAGGACCTTTTTTCGAGCACACAATTCAAATCGTTTAGCAGTCAGGCCAACGAGAGAAGTCGCTCAGTCAAATGTATTCAGCACGCGAACCAAGTTGCGGGGAATTTGTGTATACTTAAACAAAAAAGTGTGTGAAATAGTTCATATAAGCAAACGCAGGCACACACCTAAAAGGGAAGTGTACAAGGACTTACACACGCAAGTCAACGCGCATACTTCCAGTCTTAGTGCAAAAGGTGGAACAAGGCTGTCTTACTGTAGTATCACAAAAGTAAGAGGGGACGTTCGTAGTTAATAATGGTATTTAGGTTTGCTACTTACCAAGCTCTGTATAAAAATGCCTTTTAGGGTTTATTTTCCGGAGTCCTGGGCTGGCAAACGCGATCGCGAACTGGATCAGGCCGTCGGTATCAATGGCTGCGTTTTTGTCCACACCGATCGCTTCCTAACCGCACACAAGACCCTGGCTGGAAGCCTCAAAATGGCCGTACTCGCCCTTAAGGCTGCTGGTTACTTGTAAACTGGAATTTTCAGTTTATTTGAATTCGACACAACACTTTTATTATCAGCCTCTTCTATTCGCCCCGCATAACAAGGTTTAAATTCTTTAACAACAATATACAGTGGTCGCCGTTGACCACGTAATTTTCCTTAATTTGTATAA